CTAAGAATCAACTTTTAGATGCTTTCCAAACAATATGTGCTGGTTTATTAACTACGGAAGATCTGCCAAAGGACAGTTTCCGCAATTTTTTTAATTAAAAAACAGGTTCTACACAGAAAACTATGGCTTAAAATCACCCTTCGTTTAATTTTGAGCTACAGTTAGCATAAACAACGAAATCGTTTACAAACTTGTATACAATATTGCTAATTTAAGAGTCATTGCGCTTAAATTTACAAAACATATCGTGTAAATTTACGCCAAATATAGAGTTAATTTTATCTGCGCTTTATCTCTCAGATATTTACATGATTTTTCAAACGGTGTAGGGGACAAATGAATGGAAATTTGTTTGGGTTTAATCTTAAACAATATGTATTGTATTGTTAAAAATCGATTGAAATCATCTAAAATATAGTTTGATTGTTTAGCATGGAGTAACGTTTCTCTCTCAATAACGACATTGAAATTCTATATAATGACTATCTTTTACAACGAAAGTTCTTTATAACGACAGTCCCCTGCGATGTCGCTATAAAGAGCTTCGGCTGTACATCAAAATGATACTGGTGCTCAGCGTTGCCAGGTCATTTTCAGAAAAAAAATCTGTAACAGTTAAAATATAAAATCTGGAAAAATCTGGAATGCTTTAAAAAATCCTCTTTTTAACAAAATGCTATTGAAATCAAAGTTATGTGCCAATCTCCCATAAAAATCGGTCAGTATGTTGTATTGTTTTTTTTTTTAATTATATCTTTTTTAAAAAGAATGAGAAGCAAAGAATCAAGCAAATTTGATGGGATGGATATGTTTTAACTAATAATAATCGTTGTAGCCCTTACTATTTGATGCAATACCAGAATTTAAAGATTTTATTTGTTCTAAATAATTCTAATATTACCCTGAGGTCGATCAGACTTACCATTTAATTCTTGACATCATACAACACCCAGTAGACCAGTAGGAAATTTTGTTTTGAAGCAAAATTCACCTGGTTGAAGTGGGAATCAAAGTCTAACATCGTGGTATTCTCACACAGTTTACCTAAACTACGGATAACTCCACTATTCGCATGACCATTACGAATAATTTTATGCTAAAGAATAATTTTATTATATTACTAAAACGAAAGTCTGATAGCTTCATTTTGGAAGGCTCAGGAGTTCCAGATCATGAAATTTTTTGTTAGTCTGATTTTACTTAGGACTCTTCAAAGAATATTTTCGCCCTAGAATTCCATCATACACACTTAGTTTTTTCTACCGAGTTTTGTTTCACTGAGATCTCAGCAAAAGTGACATTTGATAGCTGAGTCTCGTGTAATGCTTAGCTCAATCTCAGCAAACAAATGAAATGTTTGATGAGATATCAGTAAAACTTGTTTTTCCGAAATTTGCACAGATTTACTCTAAAATAATCTTGATAATATCCAAACTTTTACAGTAACATTTTAGCATTACCTTTTTTAATCTCTTATAAATCACTATCAAATTCCACAATTCCCTCAAACTGGAAATAATTCCCAAAAATTGGCTCAATTTTATGTCCATTAGAGAAAAATCCTGAAAAAAATACCATAATTATTTCCTTGGTACACTCTTCAGAATGACCGTCACGCTCTTCTCAGACTCATCCGATAATTTCCTTTGAAATGCGTGGTAGGTAAAAATTGTTTTGAAATCCTCTTCAGTATTTCCTTATTATTCAAGTACTTTGCCAAAGTGGTTTTGAACGTTTCCCAGAAATTCCGCATAATTCCATTGAAATGTCTTAAAATTAATCTTCATAGGACAGAATTCAATTGAAATTATTCTCACAATTCGTATCAGAATACTCCTTAAGTTTCATCATAAGAATTTTCTATGATTTCTCTTCCAGATTGTATTTCCTGTATTCACAAAATCTCCATGCAATTGTCATTAGATTTGATAAGACAATTGACACCGTCTTCAACCAGAGGTTTCACAGACTGTATATTTAACACTAACGGACAACACACCACACCCAGTAGACCAGTAGGGAAATTTGCAGGTAGTCAAATTTGAACCGGCTGGAGCAGGAATCGAACTCTCACTTCGTGGCACTCAATACGGGTGAAGTCACACGAAAACAAAGCCCACAAAGATGGATGGAACTCTACTCAGAATTAGCTTGACATTCTCGTTTGATTTCACAATTTTCAGAATTACCTTAATTATGTAATGTCCAAAGTTGATAGACGTTGAGTAGCAAGTTTTGCTTTTTATTTTTAGATTAGATGATAAATCCATTGCAGTGATATTTTTAAAGCAACATGTTTAAAAAATCTGGGAAAATCTGGAATATATTTTAAAAATCTAGAAATATACGTGGTCTGTCTGTTTATCTGGCAAGACGACTAAAAATGTGGAAAATCCAGATAAATCTGGGATACTGGCAACGCTGCTGGAGCGAGTAGCTGAGTATGAAGTATCCGACGAACGTACGAAGACGCTGAAATGTGAATTCACTGCAACGCCTTATGTAGATGTTGGACTATTTTTCCTTCCTTTCCCCTGCCTGCGAATGTAAGGATGTGGCCAGGTGTATGATGCGATGCTTGTTTGCATATGTTGATGTGTAGGAAATACCACTAATCCCAAGTATTTTTTCACGGCAACACACGAAACGCTATGATGGCACTTTTATCAATAAATTTAAAATTACGATGTCTGTTCTGCACATTTTCCACTATTTAAGACTGCTGTGCAAAAAATAATTGAACAGTAATGTCAAACAGGCAAAGACATTGAAAAATCGACTTAATTTGCAAACAGCAACAGATTTATCAGTATTGAAAAGCTACACTAATAAATTCGAACTGCTGCTGCTTGTCTAATTGAACATGAGCACTAAATGGCTCCAATTGGTTCCGATGTGTAATTTTTTTTTTAGCGGCGCCTGTGATGTAGTGGTAAGCGTGATTGTCTCTCACCCCAGCAGGCCTGGGTTCAATCCCAGTCGGCGCCGCCAGGATGTTCTGAGGCATAACATCTCTGATCACGCCTTCCTTCGGAAGGGAAGTAAAGCCGTTGGTCCCCGGTTCATGAGTTGATGGGTCGATAGGTAGGGTCCAGGTGTGGGAGCTGCCTTCCTGGCGTCGGTAGCATTGGTGCTCAGCACGGAAAACAAATCAAGGAAAAAAATTGCAATTTTTCTTTTTTTTTTGCGACAAAATCCTATCAAGCATTCAAATTGGAAGAGACGATTCTTGATCTTCTCTGAAATCCACCTGGTCATACGAAATCAAGAACCGAGCTGGTAGAACATGCTCGTTCAAAAAAGTGCGAGCTGTTCTTTTCAACCAATTCAACATATCTAATTTTCATTCACATATATGTTTATATAGAATATACTGGCCTCACATATTTTTGTTTATCGGTCATCCAGAAACAACACTATGACCTCTCTGAGCACATACGCTGACATCACCACGGGTCGAAATACTTTCCAAGCTGCAAGCTACAGGCAGTGGCAAAAGAAAACCAACCTGAGAAGAGTGCCGAAGTCAAGTGGTTTGCATAACATTTCGCTGAAAAGCTACCTACTTGTATCCGACTAGAGTATCGTTCTGCCGGCAATATCCCAACAATTGAAGCTTATTGCTTGCCCCTATTTCGATACACAAACCACAAGTGCACTCTCAAATTGCATCAAGAACAAGTTCCTGCCCGTAGGCTTAACTGCAATTTCTTCTCGATACACCGGTAGACAGCACAGTGGGGCGACTCCATACAAAATACGGTCGCAATGAAAAGGTTTTGTATTAAATCGTAACCAACATAGCTTTTAGGTAATTTGGATATCCATACACATTTTTGCGCTATAGATCAAGACAAAATCGTTACCCTAGGATGGCTCCTAAATATAACCGAAAAAAACGATCTTCATGAAAATTATCAATTTTAACACAGAACAATAAACTTGTGCTTGGAATACTTGGAATAGATATAAATACCAACAGATTTCGCACTATTTATGCCACAAAGTTTGATGAAGGTTAAACACAATAGTGAATAATTTGGCAGCTAAGTTATTAACGAAAGCGAAAGTCGACGAAGATAATCGATCAAAGCAGATAGGACCTTTTGAACAATTTGTCTAGTTTTAGTAATATGATAACTTTGTTTAACAAAGGTTTTAACGGATTAATGGCCATTTTATTGCATGAAGTGAAAGTTTTAATCGTTAAAGATGAGAAACTATGATGCCATTGAAATTAACTATTCATTTGTATTGAATTTCTAGGTAGATCAATGTGCCATATCTTGTTAAACATTCACAGTTTTTCAACGGATTTTCATCATTACCGCTTTGCATGGAATTCAGTTCTTATCGCATTATCCTGAAATATTGCCTTTGAAGCTATAATATATCGAGAAAAAAAAAACATATAAATAATAATTAATGATACATAATTTCAATAACGATCAAGCATCGCTCCACTGTGCACAGGACCCGGAAAGAGTGCACTCTCGTTTGTCGGAGTCGGAGCCATGGGGCAGGGAAAAGAAAACTATTTTTCCACTTTTACCTACGGTCCGAACAACAGTCAATCAATCTTGTGCTGCAAACTGCACTCGAGCTGTGTTATTGTTATCGTTCGTTGCACGGCTCGTGCTCTTCGAAATAGGATCAATATGCAATTGAGGTAGAGCAGAAGCAGAGAGAAAGAGAGAGACAGTCAGTGTCCGTCCGCAAATTCAAAACCAAGCTGGGCGAAACAACTCGATCAATATTTATAGCTCATTGTTCCTGTTGACGTTTATTAGAAAATAATTGAATTTTAAATGCATTTTCCGTCATGCAACCACCCACGGAAGAGTGTCATGATGCAACCATGGTCCTTGGGGAGAAGAATGGCATTTTAATGGGCTATCGAAGAACGAGTGAAGACATTTAGCGTAAACTTAATTATAACTTTTATCGCGTAACTATAGGGAAAAACTTCTACCATGGTGGTTGGTAATGGCTTTACTTACCGCTAGTGCTGTTGATTGCAAAGAAGCCTTCCGGGTTGCCCGACGTGATGCGGTAGGAAATCTGCTGCAGTGGATCAATGTCGCGATCGTCAGCAATCAGTTGAAGAACTTTCACACCGTTGGGGCTGCTTTCCAGTACGGAGGGATAGTAGACGGCTTCCTCCGTTAGGGGCACGTTGTCGTTCTCGTTCTGAACTTGGATGAAGACCTGTTATCGGAGTAAAATGAAAATGAAGAAATGCGATTAGCTTGGCTGGTTGCAATTTAAGCAGTTAATACGGATCTTGAATAAGGGAATGGCTTAGTTTACCTAACTGTGTCACCTAGAATCTCTGTTAAACGAACAATATATTGACATGAAGGGGAATTTTTATGTTTTTGTTGTAAATTAATTTATTTTTACAGGCTCAATCGAATAAACTTTACAGAGCCAAATAGCTGAAGGGGAATTATTGACAATCATATTGATGATCTGTCTGTTCCCGTACTTGCTTTTTTGCTTTTGCTGTATGTTGCTGCAGCTTTCTGTTAATGAACCCCGCTAATATGCACGTCGTTCAAACTAAAATTTGATCAAACGTCATCTATCACATGGAATAGAGTAAAGCGAAATGAAACGATGCGAAGTGGAACGCATAATCAAATCAAAACAGCAAATAAGGCTACCATAAACTCACTTGTCTGATGGTCATAGCGTTACTAGAAGTTCTAATTCAAAATTAACCCCGTTAATATGCACTAGGCGTCGCTGAGATCACAGATGGTCCACGGTAAAAGCCATCGTGTAGGGTCCATTTAAAGGTCCAATAAGACCAGTTAAATTGTCTCATTGTAGTTTCTGTATAAAATTCAGTATGAAATATTCAAGGGAAACTATTCTGGATCCTGAGTGCGCTCTTTATCGGTTATCCAAACAGATCCAAAAATATTATTGCGAATAAATAATCAAGAACAATGAGTTCAATTTCTGTTTTTTATCATTCGCTGCATTCGCAATTTAAAATTCAGGATTGATAAGAACATTGGCAGTAAAGTCCATTAGTATACTGCTCTAGAAGGGCAGATATTTATTGCTATAATTAATTGAAGTGGATTGTTCGCAAGCCACATTGGGTCGTTATATTTTCTGTTTTTAGCAAGGATCTATTTGTAAATAACGTTATGAAAAATGTCACATTTCCGTCTCTCTGTCTTCCGTGCTGATTTTAATGTGAAATGATTAACATATTTCCAAAAATATGTGATTAACGGCACCGGCAGTGGAGTGGTAAACGTGATTGCCTCTCACTCCAAAGGTCCTGGGTTCAATCCCTGTCGGCACCACACAATGGTACAAGATCAAATAAAGTGAGATATGATGATGATGATGTTGATGATGGTTCCACCGCTTACCTCTACAAAAGTTTAAGCGTGACGATTTACCTTTAAGATAATTAAGTATAACATTTAAACAGATTAGCAATCAAAGACGAATTGGTTACAGCTTCAGATAGAAATTCCCTCAACGCTTCTCAATTATTTCATCGCGATATAAATGAGAAAAAGCTTAGGCGTTCACCTCTTCGTTTACCTTTTTGGCCCCCTCAAATATTCACAAGCCTCCCCAGCGATCAAGTGTTCATGAATAATCAACAAAGCATTCTGGTGCATTTGTTATTTTCAGCAACTTCAGGAATGCTCACGAGCCCCCCGATAATCAGCCAGAAAACTTGCTAATAATTTAAAACATCTGCCAAATAAGCATCAATGTTTCATTTTTTGTTTTTTGTTTATTGAATGTTAAATTCAGTCCTCCACATCTGTAATACGTACGGGAGGCTCAAACCTTTGAAGACTTCTCATAATTACTTGTTTATATATAATTACTATTATTAAATAAAATGTTAAAAATGCATCATAACCATCCTGTGAATAAAATAGTTTTTGCACTGCTACAATTATTAATTTGTTGTTGTTGTTGTTGTTTATTATTGACATTTTACATCCTGCAGATGCATTCATGTCATACAATTATTAATGAAAAAGTCGTTATGATAGCTATCCAGCAAGATACATTATTTGTCAATTCATAAAAATAAATTCATTAGATACCTGTTCAAAAGACAGCGTGTGTGAAATGCAATGTCTCTTATATTCCGTAAGTTTTGCTGAACGTTTGATGTGTCTAGGCATCGTATTGAAAACATGAATTCCTTTAAAATACAATGAATTTTGTGAAGCACAGGTCCAGAAATTTGGTGTTCTTATTTCATTCGCGTTTCTAGTATTATATCTATGAAAATCACTTCCTCTTTCAATTCGATTACACAAATATCGAGGCAACAAATCTTTAACTTTAAAAATTAACACCATGGTCAAATATGCAATTATTTCCTTCACCGACAACCATTGTAAAGCGTTCGGCATCAGAGTTGAGGAAGTGAATCTATTACCTTTGTCACTAGCGTAACTTAGGTATTAGAATCGATTTTCACACGTCTTGCCGTCTGCGTCCAATAGCAATCCACACAAGCTATCTCACCTGTATAAAACATTCTCAATCGATAGAAATCGGCTCGATCTGGCTCGATAGTTTGATTACGACCAGGGCTGGCAAATGTCAATTTCAATGAAAGATCTCACGCGATATTTACAGAGATATTTCTGTCACTATCACCGGATGAGAAAACGATGATAGAGATTTACTTCAAAATCTCATTTATTTTTTGTCATGACAGAACGTGACAGTGTTGTTAACATCGCTATTACTAGCCCATTTATTGATTTTATTTTTACTTGTACCGCGGAAATCTTAAAAATATATACACGGGAACAAATCAAAAATCCGAAATGAGATAAATGACTCATGATTTCATGAACATAGCGTATTTTCATGTTATGAAAATACACCATGAATAATATTCATGCGCTATGTTTGCGTAACGCACCCATGATTCCGGAAATCATGAATCATCCGAGTTAAAATCATGAACTAAATTCATGAGAGTTGGTTGGAAATGCTAACATGAAGCTTTAGTGTGATGATTTATTAGCTAGAGAATGATCTTTAGAAGAGGGTAGGTGGATAGTTCCGGTAGAGTACGGCAGTATGAAAATTGAATAGAAGTTGAAAATGAGCGAAGGGCCATTAAAGCGACAGTTTTCAAGATAGACGCACATTTTTGCCTAGCCCGTACGATGTACGCGGGGACTTGAAGTATGTCTCCAAGTCCACAGGCAAAAATGTGCGTCCCTCTTGTTGCTCATAAACTGACTGCGGCTGTGGAATAGTTCTAGCGACGTTTTCATCACTACCTAAAGCCCCACGTTGCGAGAGCATTTCCAGTCGATGGTGTGTTATAATGCAGTTCTTCTTTACCCAACTATTGTGTTGCTCCTCTCGTCATGACCAACGTGATCATCTCAGAGAGAAAGCAGTAGGGTGGTAGTTGCGTGCTGTACCATCATCAGCATTGTTGACGGCTACTCCCGCCTTGAGTTGTTACATCCAAAGTGTTTTTATGTTACTTCATACGCGAAGTTAACGATTTTCAGAGTTGGTTGGAAATGCTAACATGAAGCTTTAGTGTGATGATTTATTAGCTAGAGAAGGATCTTTAGAAGAGGGTAGGTGGATAGTTCCGTTAGAGTACGGCAGTATGGAAATTGAATAGAAGTTGAAAATGAGCGAAGGGCCATTAATGCGACAGTTTTTTAGAGATAGACGCACATTTTTGCCTAACCCGTACGATGTACGCGGGGACTTGAAGTATGTCTCCAAGTCCACAGGCAAAAATGTGCGTCCATCTTTTTGCTCATAAACTGACTGCGGCTGTGGAATAGTTCTAGCGACGTTTTCATCACTACCTAAAGCCCCACGTTGCGAGAGCATTTCCAGTCGATGGTGTGTTATAATGCAGTTCTTCTTTACCCAACTATTGTGTTGCTCCTCTCGTCATGACCAACGTGATCATCTCAGAGAGAAAGCAGTAGGGTGGTTGTTGCGTGCTGTACCATCATCAGCATTGTTGACGGCTATTTCCAACCAACTCTGAAAATCGTTAACTTCGCGTATGAAGTAACATAAAAAACACTTTGAATGTAACAACTCAAGGCGGGAGTAGCCGTCAACAATGCTGATGATGGTACAGCACGCAACAACCACCCTACTGCTTTCTCTCTGAGATGATCACGTTGGTCATGACGAGAGGAGCAACACAATAGTTGGGTAAAGAAGAACTGCATTATAACACACCATCGACTGGAAATGCTCTCGCAAACGTGGGGCTTTAGGTAGTGATGAAAACGTCACTAGAACTATTCCACAGCCGCAGTCAGTTTATGAGCAACAAGAGGGACGCACATTTTTGCCTGTGGATTTGGAGACATACTTCAAGTCCCCGCGTACATCGTACGGGCTAGGCAAAAATATGCGTCTATCTTGAAAACTGTCGCTTTAATGGCCCTTCGCTCATTTTCAACTTCTATTCAATTTTCATACTGCCGTACTCTACCGGAACTATCCACCTACCCTCTTCTAAAGATCATTCTCTAGCTAATAAATCATCACACTAAAAAAAAAGCTTCATGTTAGCATTTCCAACCAACTCTGAAAATCGTTAACTTCGCGTATGAAGTAACATAAAAAACACTTTGAATATAAATTCATGAATTTAACTTTTAGTTTTTAAACCAAAACATGTAAAAAAATAAAATAAATCATCAAACTGGATTCGAACCAAGAACCTTACGATCACTAAACCCGTACTTTGACCACTAGACTATCAATACTTGTATCAGAAGGAAGGCAAAAGGCGTATAAGAGATACCTATGTAGTGCAGTGAACACGGTTTTTCAGGTAACGCTTGAAGCGGTCATGATTCCGCTGCATTATGAAATCAAGAATTTCCATTACGAAATCATGAATCATTGTTATGATTTCAAGGGCTGGCAAGTTTTTTGATTTCATGATTTTTTGTTCATGATAATGGAATCGGATTTTTCCCGTGTACACTCTGCCTATTACATACTGTTGCTTGCCTAAGCTCATCTAAATCAGTTAGAAATGTTGATGTTAAAGCCGAATGACTATTATTCTCATGAATGCTAGATCATAGGAAAATGACAAGAAATCTCATGATAGGTAGTTTCGTCTCGTGATAGTGCGAGGACCTGTTTTCTCATTGTCACATGACGGTCGTGATATTTACCAGCTTTGATTACGACATCGTAGAATCAAATTGAATATGAAAAATCGATCCAGCAAGATGAAATTTGCTGATATCTGTATGTGCGTCTGTGGACGCGTCCCATCTAGGCAAGCTTTTTTCGAGATGGTTCATCCGATCAATATGGTTGATGTCTCGTTTGATAGGCCCCATTGCACCATTGATCCCTGTTGATTTTTTTTCTCGATCTGACTTCCGGTTTCGGAGATATGGCAGAATGATTTTAGCTAACGATTTTTTTAAAAATCAGTGGTACACTTTATCAACATGCTTTTTTTAACAGTAGAAAGACCTAATCCATATCTACTTGGGAAAAATTTCATACCGATCTGACTTCCGGTTCCGGAGATTTACAGGATATAATGATTTTAGTAAACGATTTTTTACAAATCATTCGGGTGCGGTACATCCCATCAATGTAAAATTTGCAGCAATGGGAAGATCTTATCCATATCTACCTACAGAAAAAAATGTCATACCGATCTGACATTTGGTGTTGGAGATTCCGCCTTATTACCTTTGTTACTAGCGTAACATAGGTATTAGAATCGATTTTCACTCGTCTTGCCGTCTGCGCCCGATAGCCATCCACACAAGCTATCTCACCTATATAAATCATTCTCAATCAACACGGGAAAAAATCCGATCTCCGAAATGAGAAATGTGACTCATGATTTCATGAACACAGCATATTTTCATGTTATGAAAATACACCATGAATAATATTCATGATATCGTGAGCAATTGTCTTTGTGATATTCATGAAGAAAACAGCAAGCATTCTGATTGACTCGTAAAAAGACAAAATAAAAATAAATGTAGATTGCAGTGATAAGTGTGGATGCTCTTTTTATAAAATATCAAATTCTGTTTTTAATTATATTTTTTAAAAATATCAAAATAATATCAAAATATGAATTCAACCGAATTTAAAAAAAAATAGCATATCAAAATATGTTATCAACAGGATTTCAAAAACAAAATAAGGTATCATTTTGACAGTATTTTAATATACAACTTTGCTCGGGATCCGATCGTCGTGTTCTCTGAAACTGTTCACTATCGATCCAGTATATAACACGCACACTTATAGGTTCATTTCACCCCTAAAGATTGAGGATGTTCCAGAAAACGTAAAATTCAAGTTTACTACCAAGAATCCCACCGGAGTTATGGTATTTGGAGCAGTTGCATCGAACGGATTGAAAATGCCTCTAGTTTTCATTAAAGCTGGTGTTAAAGTCAACACATAAGTCTACATGGACAACCGTGCTACGGAGATGAACCAGCCTGCGGCTGAAAATCTCCTAAATAGAGATAATAATAATAATAATAATAATGGACAACCGTGTGCTCCCATGGATCAAAGCTAAGTTCGATGAGCACGAGGATTTGTTTTCAACAAGATGAAGCTCCTAATAAGCCCTCTAACAAGACTCAAACATGGCTGAGGGAGAACATTAAATTTTGGCAGAAAGATTTTTGTCCTCCCAGCAGCCCAGACTTGAATGCTCTTGACTATTCAATATGGGCGTATGTTCAAGCAAAGGCCTACGGATCATCACACCCCACAGTAGAAACATAGAAATAATCCATTGCCAAGGCATGGTCTTTGATGTCAGAGTCTTATGTTACGAAGGTTTGCTCTCGATTCTGCTCCCGTCTGGAGAAGGTCATTGAGAATGAGGGTGCACATATCGAATAAATTTATTTGGTGTTGGTAAATAAACATACTTGAACCATAAAAAAAAGGTTTTGTTTCAACGAACATGATTGAAATGAACGTTTTTAAAAGTTCTGTAAATTTCCGCATTCTTTTACTGTAGTCTTTAGTGGTCCTCTTATCTGGCCTTAATATTCACTTCTAATAATTGGCCGTGGAAAACGAATTAGTTACGGGTCCAACCCCCCACTCAGATCCTACCTTAAGCGTAGAATAAAGTCGTTACTGTATCGGTATAACAGAGCCTAGAGTTGTTTTAAAAATGACTACTTTCAATCTAGCACTTAATTCTCAATGCAGCAACAGGTATTCCTGTAATTCCAAGCAACATCTACGTTTCAAAAAATAAACAATTCCTGGCAGCAAAACACATCAAAGTGTATTACATACAAATTTCTTTGGACACCCACCCCCATTGCTCCGTAATCAACGGTAATCCAGCATTCTCCCACATTCTCTCATATAAAACATTCCATTCGAGGTGCAAGACGATCTTCTCGCCTCCGGTAGTCTTCCGAGAAAAAAAAGCACCAGCAGGAGCCAGCAAAAACACATTCCAAAACCAGAATGGTGTGTCATATCATCTCACACCCTCCAACCACCACCATCTTTTGAAACTCACCTGAACACACGAATGCAGTGGGACCACCGCCTGGTCCTGGGCGCAAACCGTTAGCCAGTAGTTGGGTTTGGATTCCAGATCGAGCGATGCCAAAGTCCGGAGGACACCTGTGGGTGGAAAAGAGAGAGAAAAAGAAAAAGAACTGAGTGAGAATTTTATCAGATTCAATAAAGCTCAATCATCCTGCACGTGGGATTCCGGGTGGACCGGACCGACATTCGGTATAGCCAGCAGCAGTGATGGAAAACTTGATTTATTACAGCGTCGCGCTGTGGGGTTTAGTTCGTCGAAATATTGATATATGAGCTGCCAACTACTTTTCGGGACGTGGAGCGCTGGATTGATACCCAGTAGAGTTGCCACAGCGAGAATAGTTGAGAATTTGAATGTTAGTTAAGCAAGTGAAAGTGGCATTACTGAATCGTTTAGACGAGAAAAGGTCACACACATGATCCCAGGGAGATATTTGCGTCAAACTGTTATCGACGAGATTTCGCGAAAAGAGTAGGTTATTTATTAGGACTGACTGCTCTGAATACGTCTTTCAACTTCTGTTGCGAGTGGGATTTTCCTGATCACAGAAAGCCGTCACTTACACTAGCCACATCTATATTCACACCCCTTGGCACTGCCATCAGCAGCCCGGGCTCATGTCCTCTTTTATCTGACTCGGCCAACAAAAGTTATTGCTCTTGATGGGTTTTCTCTCGCCTCGTCTCGTTGGTTGCTGGCATTGTGATCAATTTCTTGCCATATCACACAAATGTTTTTCCTTTTGCTTGCATGACCGGCTCTTTCCCGTTCCATTTCCACGTCCCTACAAATCTCCTCAGAACAGGAAGGAAAAGTCTCTCTTCTGCTGATGGTGGCGACGAAGCATTTATCTCTGCAGATAATGTGGGATAATGTATTATCATTATCAGAATCACATGATGATGCCGTTTTCTCTTTGGGTTGGTTCCGGAGGGTAGATTACGGCAGGAAGGGGATCAAGCACCAGGGCAAGATTTCTCGCTTTGTCGGATGTCGGAGATTATGTAAAAGAGGAGATAACACGAATGATATTGAATGGAGCATCATTCTAATAGTCATACATTATTATCGGTCCTGAGAGACCATTGGAGGCGCACACTAAGCGAAGGGAACAGAGTGTAAGACCCGGTTTCCCGACAATCGATGTATTAGGAATTGTTGTCTCGTCCACTTGATTGAACAGTATCATCCATGTGATCGAAATGAGGGCCCATGATGCAGCATTGAGAACAGCCAAAGGGGAATAGAAGACATTTTTCCATTAAAGTCTAATATTACCACAAACCGAGCATGTCGGGCAGGCATATCCTTTGTCACAATACACCTTTTCTAATTTGGTCGCTCCAGATGAATGGATAGCAAGTCATTTGTTGCGGACCTCAATAGGGTCTTTGTGAATGAAGAAATTAATTTTCAGCAAATTTTCCCTATCTAGGATGGGGAAGCAATAAAGAGAACGAATGGAACTTCGTTTGCAATCAAAAGCTGGGCCACGCTACCTGGCTTTTAAATTAATATTTCAAAGTCTGTTCATTGTGATGTGATTTCTCGGAAGGTTGAAGAAAAGATTCCCAAGTAGCACAGCCAGTTATAAAGAAGTTGAAAATACTGTTAAATGACAAATACAAGTAATAATTCATATACAACCTGATATCCTCTATACAACATGTTTTGCTATTCTAGACATAGTTAGTTGTTATGTCTGTACTTATTTAGTTATCTCCTCCGACTCATTTTTTATCAGTTGTTATCACTTTGAATGTTAGCCGCATGGCAATAAAAAAAATGTGCTTCACACGACAAATCTTATTTCAGTCAGGACTTCAATACACAAGTATCACATCTTCATGCCATTATGTTGAGTAAACTTCTTCACAACGAAAACAGTTATATAAAGATTAACTGATATAGAGCTTGCATTACATTACTCGATATAAATAGAATAAACTTGAACAATATTAAACCTATTTTGAAATTATTTTTGAGCAAAATAGGCTTAAAATGAAGGTAAAAGTTGTTACGTGTTGTTTCTAGAGCTGAAAAAAAGCGTCTTTGTGACAGCTAAATATATTGTTAGATAAACTATAATTGGATTGGAGTATATTTGAACCCGGCAGGACGTCGCAGCAGTCAAAGACCCAGTGGAACTTCTACAAGGAAATTAAGTAAATCGATTGGATTTTAACCTGGGCACAGTTTAAAGCAAAAGCAAACAATTTTATTTTCAAAATTCTCAGATGTCTTAAAAAATAAAAAGTCTACGATGCCTATTTTCAATTTATTTTATGCAGTGCAAGAGTTTGTCTTAACGGCGCCGGTGGTGTAGTGGTAAGTGTGATTACCTCTCACCCCAGCAGGCCTGGGTTCAATCCCAGTCGGCGCCGCCGGGATGTTCTGAGGCATAACATCTCTGATCACGCCTTTCTTCGGATGGGAAGTAAAGCCGTTGGTCCCCGGTTCATGAGTTGATGGGTCGATAGGTAGGGTCCAGGTGTGGGAGCTGCCTTCCTGGCACGTCGGTAGCATTGGTGCTCAGCACGGAAAACAAGATCGACGGAAAAAACAAACCAAAGGAAAAAAAAAAAAAAAAAAAAAAAAGAGTTTGTCTTTGAGTTTTTTTATACCTTCTTCTGTGCATTCAAGCTCTTTAATTTCTCCTTATTGTTTTGTAAAAGCCAGACTTAGTGCCAGTCTCAGTGTCCTGTATATACACCTCAAGTGCCGCCCCGAAAGAAAGTTATCCGGACAACACCTTTAACTTTTCCGTATTTCCCCAACACTAACGCTAGATTTTGGTCAGGAGCCTCCAATCACAGAACAGAAGCGGATGTGCAAACAAAGTGGTGAATCAAAAAGTGGTACGTTTTTCTGCTCAACAAGCGATGCGTTGTGAAGGTGTTCTACACGGGCTTTATAAGCGCACTCACACTATCATACCATGCTACCTATCTTAACTGCAGGCAGATGATGCCTTCTGCCGCTAGGTGCGCAAGTGTTCGCAAAAGACAAGTGGAGCAACTTTCTGATCCGAAGCTCCACTTCTATTCTGTGGTATTTAAATTTTCCCTCCAAACGTAGCAAGCATGCATGGAAAATCAGATCCTTCGAGTTATAATCATCACGGTGAAGACAATTGAATAACACCGACTGATCTGCAGCAGTAACCAAAGCGCACCGAAATCACCGATTATACAAACTGTCGATAATCAGATCGACACCGAGAGGTATCTTGAAATTTGTGCTCTCGAAATTGCAAAAAGTGATGAGAAAAATGACTCTGTAAGGACACACCTTATGGTTTACATGAGCCCAACCCACTTGTTGAACTCGACATCTCTAAATTATGTAGATGAAGATGTACATACGGTCTCTAGTAGCAACGATTGGTGAACTAATCATCCTTGCTCTTACCCGATGACCGTAAAGATATGATTGACATAAAGGGTTGGACGAGTAAAAAGTAGTCACACAATATTAATAGCGATAAGCTCCATCGAGGATGATAGGCCAATCTCGAATTATCCTCGATTTTGCTAAGCACTATGCCGTTTTATCCTCAATTTTATTCTCGGATATAACTTTAATACGCCGATTTCGCCATATTGGAGAAAATCTCGGATTTTCAAAAAGAAAGCAACCAAAACAAAATCTGCTCACACACATATGCATCTAATGTAATATTTCTGTTTATTTTTTGGAATGCAAATCACTTCAAATGCTGCTAACATATACTTATTGCATTATTAGCAATGCATTATTTTTCTTCATCTTCATCATTTTCCTGGACAATCCGATCGGCTGCAGTAAATAAATTTGGAAAAGGTATACGCATCGTTTTCGGGAGGAAGCAGCAAGTGATTGGAAGTGTCGCACAGTGGGACGAATTAAAAAAAAAGTGGGACATGGCTATTTGCGACGAAACTATTGAGTATAGCTTTTCGTTGTCTTCTAAAATGTTTCTTTATTTTTTAAGTACTTTATTTTAGTAGTGAAAATTTTTGGTTAAGGAGGGTATACACTCAAATAAAAAAAAATGACTTTTTTATGTCTTGTTAAATTCGATGAACACCTATGAAAACATTGAAGATGAAGTCTTTTTAAGAAACTTTGTCCAAGGTGTAAACTTTCTATCTCTCAAGTGGACGAAGTCATAGGGTGAACATGGACTACAAACGGTAGTTCCCCCTTAAAAAACGTTTTTTCACCATAACTTTTTTCTTTGAATTTTTTCGATTTTTTAAATATTCTACAAAGTTGTAGGTGCTTAGAAAATGCACATTTTTGCAGAAGACAGTAAATCGTTATCTCTTTGTTGAAAGGATTTACGCCTGTTTTTACATTTTTTTTTACACTATCTTTAAGGGGGTCTACCTTGCAGGTTAGCAGGTATTAGCAGCTAATGACAACGTCATTTCATTCAGCAACTTATACCCTACTGTTTCATATACAATTCATAGGGGGATCCAAGAGGATGCTTAATATTTTTTTTTAAATGTACCTCAACGTTTTGTTACGTTTTGCTGTTTTCATGAAGATTTTTCCAAGTATGTACATACATCAAGACAAAAAACGTGTTGCTTACTGTTAATTATGACAAAAGAAATCATTATGGTGAACATTTGCACTAGCTATTAAAAGTAAACGGCAATTAAGTAGGTGACAAAACATTTATTCAAACTCTTTTGATTCTTTTTTTTTTTTTTTTTTTTTAATTACTTTATTTGTACAGGCTCAATCGAATAAACTTTACAGAGCCAAGTTATCATTTTCTTTATAATTATGAATGTCTTAAATCTAAAATTAAGGGATTGGAACCGATTACTCGCGGTCTTCTCGAGGTTATTGGATGACAACTGTTTGGATCGGGAGAGGGAAAAGGAGATTTGGAATATGATTCTAAAATTTCACTATTTCTTAAACATATACTTAATCCTATCGACGTTATATCAACTCTGTAATTATACAATTATTACAGAAACAAATCTACAAAAAAAATACACACACACATACAAAACACAAACTAAACACAAGGTTAATCAAACTTACAATCTATGGTTAATATTCTTCAAGAAAA